CCAACAGTATGCTTTTCATACAGCATACTAAATCGCCAGGCCATGTTGGTGATCATGTCGGCGTTGATCGTGGTGTTTGGCATTGTGCAACCACTGTGCACGGAACTATGGCAGTTTTACCTGTGCGCCACCTTGGTCAACGCGGGTGTGTCCAGCTTTGATATGGGCACCACTGTATGGGTGATCGAGATGTGGCAGAAAAACAGCGCCCCTGTACTGCAGTTGGCCAAAGCGGTGGGCGGCGCCGGTATGGTTGTGGCCCCGTTATTGGCCGGACCCTTCATTCAGGGCCGCGTTGTGCCCAGTAATGCAACTTTGGATGAGTTTTTGAATAGGACCCATAGCAAGGCTACCGGTGATGACCGGATCGATGAATATAACTACTCGCTGGACAGGAGGTCTGACCTACTTATACCGTTCATAGCTGGAGGAGCTGTTAATTTAATAAGTAATTTACATTTATTTATTTGTTATTTTTTATTTTTATTATGTATTATATCAGTTAGATATTTATTACATTATAAAGCTTATTATAACTTATTGTTTAATTTAGTAAAATGAATTTAGCTAGAAATAATGGTTTAAACTATATATTTATTATTTGCATTGCTATTTTTATTTTTAATTAATTAACAATATATCATGAAATTTTATACAAATAGTTGTTTGTAAGTTTCCAATTTATGCTAACTAATAATTTACTACAACAATAATTATACCAATATTTATCATTATCAAACTTTTAGTCCCGGTATCGATGCTCGCTATGTTTATATTCAAACGCTATCATTACGACGAGTCGGAGGCTGAGCTGAACAGTCAGGTCGGGGGCGGCAAAGGGACAGAGAGTAGACGGGCCACAGTGATCAGTGTCAAAGAGTTTACCATAAGAAAGCCTACGGTAGAGCAAACGCCCGCGATGAAATGGCTATTTGTGGCCCTAATCGGGATCAGTTTGAGCACTTACGGTGCCATGGAAAACACGCACCTAGTCTACAGTTCTACGTATTATCAGCTTGGTCCTATCAAGATGTCAGCGTCCAAGGCGGCCGATGTAAACGCGGTGTTGAATGCGAGTTTGACTGTTGGTAAATTGATATCGACTTTTATCGCGCTCAAAGTTAAGGCCAATATTATGCTCATTTATCACATGGTGCTGTTGGCCATATCGCAGGCGGTGCTGTATTTTGGCCGCAACTCCGAGGTTATCGTGTGGGTCGGGAATGTGCTAATCGGTATGTGTTAGAGCTCTCTCTCTCTCTCTCTCTCTCAAATATTTTAGATAAATATTTTTACTGTCAATTATTTACCTAGGTCTTGGCTACTCGGCAATCTGGCCATCATACTTTCAATTTGGTGAAGACTTTGTTGGCCTGACCGATAACATAGCGGCCGTATTTGTGGGCGTGTCGTCCATCTGCCCAATGATAGTGCCCTTTGTGTTCGGCCCTCTCGTCGAGTCTAATCCCGAAATATTTATTATATTAGAGTTTGCTTTCTATTGTATAACAGTTGTTGTGTTTGTATTTCTATTGTTGATATCATGTAGGCTTAAAAAGTCGGATAAATAGACTTAGGTTTTGTAAATATAATCTATCATGTATTTTTCTCTGTAAATAAAGTTTTGATACACTTATCATGATGATAAATTTTTGTTATTCTATTGTTTTTTTTTGTAAGCACGTGGTATTAATTGTTAAAGATGTAATTTAATGTGTGTTTGCATGAAATTACATGATGATAACAAATAGTGATAAAGTTCTAAATGCTTAATTATTTAATAATTATAATTATTTACTAGCTTTCTTTTGTATAAAATAATTATAAACAATAATATTATAATTTATAAATAATCAATCAGTTAATTTATATTCCTATTATTAAATTAAGTTTAAAATTAATTTGTTTATTTACTCTCTCTCTCTCTCTCTCTCTCTCAAATATTTTAGATAAATATTTTT